GCATGCACACACTCCCACACACAGGCCGGCACCTGTGTTCTTCTGCATCTTTCTTCTCTTAATGGTACATTCTGGAGATTTTTCCATTTTATTACATAGAGAATAGCAGCCTAACTCTTTTTAACTGCCTAAAATCTCATTGTCTACCTGTGCCAAAATTTGTTAGGGAGTTCTATACTGGTAGAGTTAGAGTATGTGTAACCGCTTGCTATTAGAATCATTATTGTAACAAATACTCTTTCCTATGCATGATTTTGCACCAGCAAAATACTACTTTTTTAATTTTAAAAACTGTTATTAGTACATATTTGTAGTATATAATGATTACGTTTGTTATGGGGAGTTGGTGCAAGCATAGAACACATCTACCCTGTGAGATACTTTTTAGGAGTAAAATATTTAGAACTGTGGTTTCCACTTTTTATGACGGTGGGTAGACATTTCAGTTTTAGCAGGCAGTGTTGGCCCAGCCTCACCAGAGCTTGTGGTGTGCCAGGTGAACATGCCTCCGTCCCACACTCCCCACAACGTGTTTTCAGACTCTGAGTTTTGCCAATCTAATAGGGAAAAAAAAAGAGACTTTGGTGTAAAAAAAAGAAAGACTTTGGGAAAAAAAAAAAAGATTTGCATATTTCTAATTATGAGTTCATTGAGCTCCTGTTTTGTGAAAAGCCTGTCCTTTTGCCCATTGCTGCTGTTTTTCTTTCCTTTTGCATTTACTGTCTGCTGTGAAGACCGGAGATGCACAGGGAAGGCCACAGAGGCCCCAGCACCTCCAGTGCTCAGCAGCTTGGATGCTGCCCAAGTTTGTATTTAGTGTGAAATCCTTTCCTGTTTGATTGTTACAATCCAGTATGTTGTAAAATTAGCTCTTTGAGATAGAAATTGCATATGTTTTTCCTCTGTTCATCTTTGAAGAAGTCTGACTTTACAGTGTTTCTGCACACATTTTGTTTTGTTGTTGTTTGAGAGAGGATCTCGCTGTGTGGTCTGGGCTGGCCTTAAACTGGCTGTGGTGCCCAGGCTACCTCAACCTCATGAGTGTCCCGTCTCAGCCTGGGGTTACAGCGTACACAGCACCACACCCAGCTTCAGAGGTTTCTGTTTTTATGTTGTGTTGGCTAAGCTCTCATGCCTTCAGTTGTGACTTCTGTCTTCTGGTGTGTACTGAAAATAAGCAACAGAATTAGTTCATTGCAGTACTTCCAGTAGATGTTTTTGTTTAACTATGTTACTCACTGTCTTGGTTAGTTTTCTCTTGTTGCCGAGACAAAATATGTGATGCCCAGAATAAGGAAGGAACAGTTTATTTAACTCAGTTTGTGGAGATTTCAGTCCATACTCAGCTGGCTCCAAGGCAGAATGGCACATGGCAGAGGGCAGCAGTTGATGGCTGTGGAAGACAGCAAAAGCAACCAGAGCAAAAAGGAGTAGCAGCGAGGAAGCCTCTTTTCCTCCCTTACATTGTATGCAAACTACCCGCCCCAGGGCAAGTGTAACACTTACATCCGTAATTCCAGCATTGGACCATGAATCAACCATAAACTCTAGAAGCCCACCCCATGACTGCATAAGGCTTTCGGGGGAACAACACATCCAGACAAACCGTAACACTCAATTTACTATGCTACAAAGCATAAGGTAAGGGTACTGCCTATTTTTCCCCAAGACCAATAGTAGTATTATTGAATTATCTTTTTCTCCCTCACTGATTGTTTTGTTTTGCTTTGTTTTTATTTTTTTGACACAGAATTGTGTGGCTCAGGCTGACCTTGAACTCACTGTGTAGCCAAGGCTGGCCTCAAACTCAGCAATCCTCCTCCCTCAGCCTCTGGAGTGCTGGGATTACAGGTGTGCACCACCACATTTGGCTTCCCCCACTGATATGAAACATCACTTTTATCACACATGCCAGTATTTTATAAATTTGAGTGTTTTTCTTCACTTCCTAATCTGTTCTAATGATTTACCTGTGTAGACATTCACCACTGCCACATTTCTTAATTACTAAGATTTTTTTCAATAATTTTAATTCTTGGTTGGGCATGGTAGCGCACAGCTATATTTTCAGCACTTGGGAGTCTGAGGCAGGGGGATCACTGTGAGTTCAAGGCCTGCTTGACCTATATGGTAAGACCCTATCTCAAAAAACAAAAATAAAATAATAATTTTAATTCTTGTACATCTAGGCCTCTTTTTCTTTCTCAGAATTTTCTTGGCCATTCTTTTTTTTCTTGCTGGTGCTGGGACTCAAACCCAGGATTTGTGCATGCTATGTAAGTCTTCTACCACTGAGCTGCATCGCCAGCCCTTTGTCCATTTTTTTATCCACTGATTTGGGGATTTTTTCCTATTAAGTTGTCAGAGTTTTTGTATAGTTTTCATGTCAACTTCTTATCAGATATATGGCTTGCTGCTATTTTCTCCTGATCCGCAGGCTGCCTTTTCATCCTGTTGACTGTTTCCTTTGCTGTGCAGAAACTTCTTCAATTTGATGTAGTCCCACTTCTTGCCTGAGATTTTGGAGTACCTAAAAAGTCATTAGGAAGGCCAATACCAGGGAGCTTTTCTTCCATATTTGCTTTTCAGAGTTTTGCCATTTCAGGTCATATGTTTAGGTCTTTGCTCTATTTTATGTTGATTTCCATGTGTGGTGTTTTAGCTCAGGGTCCAGTTTCATTCTTTTCTGTGTGGATGTCAGCTCCCCCGGCATTATTTATTGAAGAGCTCATTCTTGTCTCAAGGTGTCTCCTTGGTGAAAATTAGCTGACTGCTGTGCTCAAGTTAATTTCTGGTCTCTGTGTTCTGTTCCATCGTCTCTGTCTAGTTTTATGATTCATGTAGCTCTAAAATATACTTGGAGGTCAGGCTTACTAACTTAGAAGTTATGGAAGTGAAGAGATAGGGGAGCCCTTTCCTCTCCTTGATCTCAGTACAGCCCTGTGATGGTGGTCACTCTTAACAGTTCGGTGCACAGCCTTTGAGTTTATTATTTAAGGGTAGAAACTGGGTGTGCATGTATGGAAATGGAGACCTCTAGTTTTCTTCTCACTGACCTGTATGTTTTGGACTTCACTCCATGGTAGTGCAGAGATGTCTCTATTTTTCTCAGGGTTGCATAATTTTCCATTACAGGTATCTGTTACTTATTTACCAGTCTTTTACTGAATTTCCCCTTGTGTAGTTAACTGTGCGCAGCTCATGAGATTATAAGGAAAAGTTATAGAAGTGGACTTCCTGGGGAAAAGGAAATGCATACTTTACGTTTTTAAAAGTATTTGCAGATTTTCCCCCGAGAGGTCACATTAACTTACACTGTCTCCAGAACCCCAAGGCAATGGCTGTTTTGTCATCATTCTTCCAATCCTCTGTGACAAATGAACAGTAAATCTCACTGCTGTAATTGATCCTGTTATTAGAAAGATTTAGTGTTTTTAATGACTACTGGCCATTTTTATTTCTTCATTAAATTCAGAAGAACTAAAGAGATAAGTTATATTTTCAGTATGATTCCAGATTGTGACTTTGGTAAATGTCTTTCTGCTCAGAACTTTTCCATCTCTATGTAGCTAAATCTGTTAGTCTGCTTTTGTGCTCTGCTTGGGAAGGATTATATAGTCTTTTCCATTTTATTCTGATCTAACTTCACGTTTCTTTTGACTAGAGAGCAGGGCCAGGGATATAGCTCAGTGGTGTAGTGCCTGCCTGGCAAGCACAAGGTCCTGAGTTCGATTCCCGGTACCAAAAAAAAGAGAGCAGCTTCCCCACCTTGTTTCTGAACTGTCCATGCCCTTCTTGCTGATGTGAACACTACCCATAATAAATCATTTACTGGGATCCCATGTAAATAGAGACTCTGACTCAGCTTTTTAGCAGGCATCAAAATTACAGTACTTGATAAGATGCTTACTGAAACTTAGAGTGGTTCCTCTAGCCTAAAGCTATTGTAGCAGAAAATGCCCTCTCCCTCCAAACTTCAGTTTGGTAGTTGCCCAAGTGATAGTTTCTGTTCCAGTCTGGGTGCTCCTGTCTCTTAGAAACAGCAGGTCACTGTGATGCACAGCTGGTCAGTATGATGCACATTGTATAAACCAGTCCCCAAATGACAAGCTGTTCTGCCTCTGTACTTCCTGCTTGCTTATCTCATATAAGCCCTAGACCACCAGAGATCAGAGTCTGATGCTCTGGGCATGATCCCGATCAGTCCTTGTTGATGTAAATAAATCTGCCTCCAAATCCTGGGTGTCATCTCTGTGTTTCTGCTTGCTGTTGCACTATAAAGAAATACGCCTTAAAACACACTAAGAGCATCCAGATGTGGTGGCACATGCTGGTAAACCCAGCACTCTGGAAGGCTGAGGCATGAGAATTAGGAGTTTGAGTCCAGCCTGAACAACTTAGTGAGATCCTGTCTCAAAATAAAGAGGACAGTGGCGCACACCTGTAGTCCTAGCACTCGGGGGGCTGAGGGAGGAGAATCACTGGGAGTTTGAGGCCAGCCTGGGCTATGGAGTGAGTTTAAGCCAGTTTGAACTGCATAGTGAAACCCTGTTTCAAAAAAGACCAAGCAAAAAAAAGACCAAAAAAAAAAAAAAAATGATAGAAAAGAGAGGACTAGGAATGGCGCTCATTGCAAGACCTGGGTTCAATCCTCAGTAGCATAAAACAAAAAACACGGGGCGGGGATATATAGCTCAGTGGCACAGTGCCTGCCCAGCAAGTCTGAGTTTTGAGTTCAATTCCCAGTACCAAAAAAAACAGCAACAAAAGCACTAAGAATGTGAAATGGAAGTGTTTTAGCTTTCTGTAGTTTGCTGTCAGTTCCTAAGTATAAATGCCTGATACTCATGTATTTGCTTTGTGATAGCTGGCACATCTTATTAGAAGGCAGAGCAGTGAAGCAGTGAAATAAAGGTTTGGTAAGGGATGGAGCTTGTGCCCGTGCTCCCACACCCTGCTGATTCTTGTCCTCATGCTGCCTCTCTCCCGTTCCCCCACAGCCCAAGTGCGATGGCCAGGTTCTGCTGGCGCAGGTGTGGAAGCACTTAAATCTGATCGAGTGTGACTACTTCGGGCTGGAGTTTCAGAACATCCAATCCTACTGGGTATGTGCTTTTGATTTGTTTTTGGAAATGGATTTTAGCAGTGTTGTAGTGCATTCATGATGGGCCTTTTGGAACCTACTGTAATGAGGTAAGCAAAGTATTTGGTAATTGGCCATCATTCTTATCAAAACTGTGCTATTAAAGTGTTTTCTTTTCAGCTGTAGGGAATGTTTGAATCTAACCCTGAACCTGTGTCCTCGCCTCTTAACTGCCTGTTCCCATGTGGCTGAGGAAGCCCTCATGAGTTACCATGGCAACTCTGATCCCTCCCCTTCCCTCCCCTGCCCCATGAGCATTGTGAAGTGAGCACACAAACTGATTCTGGCTCACTTTGCTCTACAAGTATAACCTTAAAAATTGTACAGCTTTAGGATTTACAGGTGTAATTGTTGCGAAGAAACCAACATGAGCCCCTTTGTTGAGAAAGCCCTTTGCTGCTGTTGGACACCTGTCCTCTGCTGCACAGCTGTGCCTTCCCAAGTCTCTGCTCTGTCACTGTTTACAAATGCAGTGTGTATCAAATTTGTGTTTGGTGGTAACACACATCCCCACATTGTTACTGGGACCTGCTCTGCATAGTGATAGTTGCGTGCATTTCACATGGGCATCCAGGTTGCCAGTGGTTTCGGTGTGCTCCCATATGGCTGACTTTCCTGACAGTTTATCAAGATTCAGTGTGTGTATGAGGGAAAAGAGTCACAATATTCCTGTCATACCTTCTGCTGGGAGTGGTGGCACAGGCCTCTAATCTCAGCAGTCAAGAGGCTGAGGCAGAAGGATCATTGAAAGTTCAAGGCCATTCTAGGCTACGTAGTGAGTTCAAGGCCAGCCTGAGATCCTGTCCAAAAAAAGTAAAAACTCCTGTCATAAATATTTCTCTTAATTATAAATATTTTTTATTTTATAGCATATTTATTAAAGGGAGAAATTATTTAATAGATGTTTTTTCTCTTCTATTAAATCCTCTTTAGATTTGGCTTGAACCTATGAAACCCATCATTAGGCAAATACGAAGTAAGTTCCATGTTTAAGTCTTTAAAATTCTTTTCATTTAACCTGCCTTCTTCTGGAATGTTCTGGGCTCTAGGCTGTCCCTGTGTTTGTTATCCCCCTCTGTGAGATGGTAGTGACATAACCATTGACAGTGGGTAAACTTGAAAGTCACTTGGCTGTTTAGTTTTAAACTACAGTAGATGGTTGGGAAAGGACAACAGCTCAACTCAGATGCTTCTAAGTGACTTGATTCAAATTTAGAAGTCACTGGACCTGCTGGGGATGTGACTCAGTGGTAGGAAGCTTACTTAGCATGTGTGACATCCTGGGTTCAGTACCCAAAAAAATACCCAAAAAACAAAGATAAAAGAAGTCACAGGATTTGTTTGATATTTTAATTTTTTACCAGTATGCAAAAAAATGCAATTTCTAGGTTAAGAAAAGACATTGAGATGCCTTTAAAAGTAGTATTCTAATAAAATTATTGTGTAATTATAAGCAGAATTGTGTGCATAATTACTTCTATTAGTTTCCTTACTAAATTTACAATTTAAGGCACATGATGATGCTTCCTAGTTTTATATCATCTTGAAGGCTTACATATAGTTGTTTAAGCCATTTTTTTGAGAACTAAATTGATGAGAAAAGATTATGTAAAAGTAATTTTGTTATGCACTGATCAGCTAAAGCTATTCCTCATAACATTTTAGAAAATAACTCTTCTAAAAAAAGAGGACCAGGGATATAGCTCAGTGGCATAAGTGCCTCCTGGCAAGTGTGAGGTCCTGAGTTCAATTCATACCAGAAAAGAAAAAAACTCTTCTTTTTGTTGAAAATTACACGGTCATCTTATTATTAAATTTCAGTGACATGAAGATATTCAGACCAGCTATTCATGTACCCCACCCCACCCCTTTTTTTTAACCGGGAATGGAACTCAGGACCTCGTGCTTGCCAGGCATGCACCATGCTGCTCAGCTGTATCCCAGTCCTGTCCCTTTTCTTTATGGCAGATTGTTCTGGTTCATTATAGTAAGCGGTCATGACATTTTTCTTTCACTTACGAATAGCAGGATTTCCAAAATAATGTGTTTTTTTATTGCTACCGTTAATTGGTATAAACTCCTTCACTTTATCTTTTTACCCTAAAATATAAATAGGCATATATTTTAATTTTGTTTTTGTTTTTCTCAGTACTGGGGATTGAACTCAGCACCTCAAGCGTACCAGGCAAGCACTGTACCACTGAATTACATCCCCAGCCCTATATTTAACAATTTTAATGGACAACTTTCTACTTATTTTTAAGCGTTCTTTGAATAATCTCTTCTTATAGTAAAAGATATGAAGTTTCTCTCTTGTTTTTTTTTTTGTTTGTTTGTTTTTCAGTATCGGGAATCGAACTCACGACCTTATGCTTGCCAGGCAGGCGCTGTGCCGCTGAGCTAAATCCCAAGACCCTGAAATTTCTCTTTGATATATATGATTTGTACTTAGGACTCATAAATTTATGTATAGGAAATTTCTTATCATACTTTAAACAATTGTTTTAACAGTTTATTTGAAAACACCAGCTCAGTTACATAATAATATATGGAGGGAATATAAATGTAGACATTGACTTTACTTGTAAAATTTAAAATTTTTTGTTTTTTGTAGGGCCAAAAAATGCAATGCTTCGGCTAGCTGTAAAATTTTTCCCACCTGATCCCGGCCAGTTGCAAGAAGAATACACCAGGTAAAGAGCTCACATTGAACTGGAGCTGCTGTTGGCTGGGACCTTGTACTCATTCATCTATCATGAAAGATTATGAGCTAGTGGTGTTAGACAATGGTATATGAGCTAGTGTACACATTTTGGCAGTTGACTCTTGCTCAAATGTGTAGCAGAATTTAGAAGAAATGTTTATGGTACAGATTTTAGAATAAGAAGTGGAATGGTATGTAGGGTGATACTGAACAGGTGTGCTTGGATTTATGCATGTGTATAAAGGGGCTAGAAATATAGCTCAGTGTGAACATCCTGGGTTCAATCTCTAGTACTAAAAAAAAAAAAAAAGTTCATCTACTTATTTATCTATCAACTCAACGTACTTCTCCCAATTATGTAAATTTTGTTGATAGGTAATTTTTTTGTGCTACTCTCTTTAATTTGAAGTTGCTTTTTGCAGAAATGACTAAAAGAAATGTTAAAAGTGCTTATCTGAGCAGTAAGATTATGGAGATTTCTTAGTTATCCCTTTATAACCTGGAAGTTTCAGGTCAGTGGCAGGTGAAGAGGATACCACCCTCAAACAGCAGAGTGACTCTGCGCAGGTCCCAGCTGACACAGGCTGCTGAGCAAACCGTGTTGTCTTTTGCACTCCCTCCTAAGAGTTTCTGCAGATCATGGCAGGAGCACAAAATTTCAGAGTGTCAGCTTCAAGGAACAAGGAGAGCCCCTCAGTGCAGACTGTCACTGTTCAGTGGAGGAGCCTGAGCACCAGGACAGTGAAAGTGCTCCATGTGTGAACACAGAACTTACCTTGACAGTGCATTACATGCATTGGGTGCCTGAGAGTCACATGAGGTCACTAAATATATACTCCTGAGTATGGGAAACACAAAATGTCCTCAGATTTATAATCCTGGATCTCAGTTTCAGGACTCAGATGAGTAGTTTTATAGTTACTTCCTTCTCCCTCATTTTTATGCAAGAAAGGTCTTTAATTTATTAAAAAGTATATGTTTGTGCCTGGTGAGGTGGTACACGCCTGTGTCCCTCTGAGGCCTCTGAGGCAGGAGGATCACTGAGAGGTAGAAGTCAGCCCACTGTATATCAAGACCCTATTTCAACCTCCCCCAAGGTACATGTTTGTGTCAAAAGAAAAAAAATTTCAAATAAAGCTATGTAGGGTACAAAGCAAAAGTTCCCTGCCCCACCCACTCACCCTGTTCTCCAGGTAAATGCTAACACTGGTGCAGGAGCCGACAGGTGCACAGCAAGGGCGCAGGCCCAGCGCTTTGGGCAGCACATCGGGAGGTACACTGAACTGCAGCTCATTTTCTCCCCTCTGAAGAACATGCCATCCCGTGTACAGGCTGTCACTAGTTCATCAGTCTTGCTCGCATTAGTACACCCTTGGGTTATCCCCACTTTTTCTTTGAGGATACTGTGAAGAAACATCATTGTCCACGTGTTTTTGTGAACTCTGGGAATATTGCTATAGGAATGATGTGCTGAGTTAAAGATTAGTTACCTACTTTAAATTTTAAGAGAATTTAATAAATTGTAATGAATTGCACTAAAATATAAATTCCAATAAGGGTAGGGAGTTTGTCTTGTTCAACATGGTATTCTAGCTCCAAGAACAGTACCTGAAACATAATAATACATGCTCAGCAAGCTCAGGGCCTTCGTACTGAGCTATATCCCTGGCCGGTTTTGGTGGGAGGTTTTTTGGTTTTTTTTGGTTTTTTTTGGTAAGTTTTGGAGTAGAGTCTCTCTTAAGTCCCTAAATTACCCAGGCTATACTTGAACTTGTGGTCCTCCTGCTTCAGCTTCTGAGTGCTGGAATTACAGGTATATGTCAGCTTACCCAGCTATAAATATTTTAAAGCTGCCTTCTCTAGTTATGTTCCCACCGGTGGTATTCCAGAGTGCCTGTTTTTCAGGTCCTAATCAAGACAAAAATCTTTTTTTTGGCGGGGGGCGTTTTCCAGTACCAGGAATCAAACTCACAACCTTGTGCTTGGCAGGCAGACGCTGTGCCACTGAGCTAAATCCCCAGCCCCAAGACAAAATATTTAAAGGCACATTTTAAGCTGTGTCTTAATTTTGTATTTCTGCCAGTTCATCCAAAATTGTGAGTGTAGTTTTGTGATATGAATTTGTGAACTTGCTCCTGTTGAAGGTATTCCTGCAGGTAGTGTGTGGTGTGCACACTAACTTCTCTTTCTTCACTGTGTGTGTTGAAGTACCTCTGTGTGCTCAGCACCTTCTCTGTACCAGAGTGTTGTGACTTAGCCTGCTGAATGGGTTCATCATCTGCTCTTTGCCTGTCACCCAGTTACTGCGGGAAAAGCCCATTGTGCCTCTGTCTGTTTGGTGAGGGCCCTGCCCACTGCCCACTGTTGGCTACTGCTGCTTCCCAGGCACTTGGCTACAGAGGTGTCTGTATTACATACAGAGGATGCTGGGAGTTGATCTCTCTCGTTTTGGACTCCCTTCTAGGTACTTGTTTGCCTTGCAGCTCAAGAGAGACCTGTTGGAGGAGCGCTTGACCTGTGCCGCCACTACTGCAGCCCTGCTCACATCTCACCTGCTGCAAGGTTTGTATCTTGGCCGACAGGCAGTGTCGCTGGACCAGCACCGTAGCTTAACCACACTTAGCTGCTCATGCCCACCAGAGTGGGGAGTGAACCTGATTATTAAAGAATGGGGCATTTCAGTTGGCATGTGCTGTTGGTGAGTTGAAGGTTAACTTTTGGAGACTGGAACTACTTGCAGCAAATAATCTCTATCCAGAGGCCCAAGGCCAGAATTATTCTCATGGGTTGTCTGTCATCTCTGCCTTTATACATTTTAACAATATGAAGCCCAGCATTGTGGTATACTCCTGTAATCCCAGCACTCAGGAAGCTGGGACAGGAGGGTCACCATGAGTTTAAGGCTAGCCTGGGCTACCTAGGTAGCTCAAGGCCAGCATAAACTATGTAGTGAGACCCTCTCTCAAAGAAACAGAATAAACAAAAAAACTCAGCTGAGCTTGGTGGTACACGCCTGTCATTCCAGCACTCAGGAGACTGAGTTAGGCAAATCACCAGAGGTTTGGAGTCAGCCTTGGCTACATAGTGAGTTCAAGGTCAGCTTGAACTGCATAGGGAGCTCTTGTCTCAAAATAAATAAAGAAATAAAATACAATACATTATCCTGATAGAGAAAATACATTATCCTGGTTGTAATAGCTGAGCATGTGCAGCAGACCCCGCTGCACTTAAATATAAAGTGTGGTTGTTAAGAAATAATGACATGCTGGTAGGCTGAGGCAGGCAGATTGCAAGTTTAAACAGCCTGTGCAATTTAGCAAGATCCTGTCTCAAAAAATAAGAAAATGGCTGGAGATACAGTTCAGTGCAAAGGCCCTGTGTCTTGGTTACTTTTTTCCTCCTTGCTGAGTCCATACTCAGCTGGCTGCAAGGCAGAGTGGCACATGGCAGAGGGCCACAGTTCATGGTGGTGGAAAACAGCAAAAGTAACAAGAGCAAAAAGGGAGGAGCAGCGGAAGGAACAAGCCTCTTTCTCTCCCTTCTGTTGTATGCAGGCTACCCACTCCAGGGCCAGTGTAGCTCTCACACCCGTAATCCCAGCAGTGGACCATGAATCAACCAAAAACTCTAGAAGCCCACCCATGACTGCATGAGGTGATTCAGGACGTCCAGACACAAACCATAACACCCTGGTTCAACCCCAAGTACCATAGATGATGGATTGCCTGATTCCAGATGAAGCTTAAGGCTTGCCATGTACCTTCTCAGAGCCCCTCACCAGAGTCCTTCTCTTTGGGAGTTAAGAATAATTCTTTTTGTTTTGCCCTCATACTTGCCTTTGGACAGCATAAAATACATGGAAAAAATACAGAATCTTGGGGGTTTTAGCAATATATTGCGTATTTTGTGGCAGACTTATGATACTTTTTTTTCTACTGTTAACTCATGCATTTGCTCATACATGTGCTTGTTTATTTCAAAATCTGAATGACGGACTCTCTTTGTCTCATCTCAGCGGAAATAGGAGATTACGATGAAACCTTGGACCGAGAGCACCTGAAAGCCACTGTCTACTTACCCAGCCAGGAACAGGCTCTCGAGAAGATCCTGGCCTTCCACCGGAGGCATGTGTGAGTTGCTGAGGACACTGCTGTGAATGGTGCTTAATCAGGGGCTTCTGTAGGGATTCAGCCCAAGTTGCACCTTTTGTGCCCAGGCTTAGGGCCCAGCATGCAGCCATTCCTGAGGCCCTGCTACTTTGGAAGGGGTGGCCAGGGTGTCAGGGCCTTGGGGAGGAGGATGCTGGCGAGCAGATTCCCTGCCTGGGCAGCAGGTACTTCTGGCATCAAGGAAGCAGGCAAGATGTGCCATGTCCTACAGTGCAGCAGGAGTCCTCCTTGAAGGGGAAGCAGTTCATGCTGTGGCAGGATGTAGCACAAGTGACTGTCCACCATGCTGGCAGCTGCTGCCTTTGATACACTGTGCTCTGACTTCTCTAAGATTTGACACTGGTGCACTCTGGAGTGTGCCAAGCAGAGGGGCTGCTGTGGGCTGGAGCTCTGCTGGGACAGTTGCCTTGCCATTGTGAGGGGGCTGTTAAGATGCAGGTCTGCTTCGTCAGGTAATGCCTGAGCAACACTATGCCAGATTCTCCTGACGGCACTGGCGGGGTAATTTGAAAAGCAGACCCAGGCTGCTGGGCTGTGTGTCACCCTGTAAGATGGGCTTGAGCATATCACCACTCTCAAACTGGGCAGTGATGCTTCTTGTGTGGGTATGCAAAGTACAGCTGCCAGCGAGATCCCCGGAGTACAGCAAACATAGCTCCTGCGCTGTGAGCTGGGGTCACAGATTGTGCCCGCTCAGTGGGATGGGGTGAGGTAGAGTGGGGAAGGTGGCAGAGTTCTTGGGGAGGCCCTTTGAGGGCCAGGCAGACAGATGGGAGGGAGGCACCCAGGCAGAACTCCAGCGGTAGGAGAGGAGAGGGCTGGCTGGAAGGATGCTAACAGTTGCAGTTGAAGCACTAGCGTAAACAGAATGCCAGCTGTACAGGAGGCCAGGTGGCAGTGCTCCTGGTCAGCTGGGCTGAGTGCCCACTCACACCCAAGTAGCGGGAATCTCAACTCTCTCTAGATGCTCACTTTGTGACAAGCATCAAAAACTATTGCACATCCTTTACTTACTTTAGTCATTGTTTGTGTAGGTATTGTTTTTGAGACAGGATCTCACTGGATAGTGCAGGCTGGCCTTGAACTCACAGCGATCCTCATGCCCCAGCCTCCTGAGTGTTTCGATTACAGTCATGTGCCACCATGCTTGGCTGTATCAGTTTTTTTTTTGGTTTTTTTTTTTTGGTTTTGTTTTTTTGGTACTGGGAATCAAACTCAGGACCTTGCAATTGCCAGGGAGGCACTTGTGCCGCTGAGCTATATCCTTGGCCATATGTAGCTTTTTAAAAAGACAATGATGTATATTTATTTTAATCAAAATAAGTTTTTTACATTGTCTTATGAATCTGATTTCTTTAACAACCCACTGGAAATACCTTTACAGTCACTAGATGGAATATTACAGAAGTGTCTTTCTTGATTTTGCCACTTTTTTTTTTTTTTTTTTTTTTTTTTTTGGTACTGGGAATTGAATTCAGGGTCTTGTGCTTGCCTGGCAGGCACTGTGCCACTGAGCTATAGCCCTGGTCCTAACACATGTTTTTTTTAACACATGTAGTTTGAGTCTTGCAAACTACAGGAAATTTAAAGTTGACTATTAACACTTGGGGGTACATAATGATTACTGATGTTTTGATTAGATGTATAAAGTTAATGTAGACATGAATAGCAGCCCAAGTATGGTAGTGCACGCTTGTAATCCCAGCACATGGGAGGCTGAAGCAGGAGAATCACTGCAAATTTGAGGCCAGCCTGGGCTACAAAGTGAGTTCAAGGCCAGCCTGAACCGCATAGTGAAACCCTGCCTCAAAAAAAAAAGCAAGCAAGAAAAAAATGAATAACAAAACCACTGGGCATAGTCACACATACCTATAATCCCAGCTACTCAGGTGGCTGAGGCAGGAGGTTCACAAGTTTAAGACCAGCCTGGGCAACTTGATAAGATCCAGAATATCAGTCTCAGAATAAAATTTTAAAAGAAGGTGCATTTCAGTGGTAGAGTGCTTGCCTAGCATACATGAATCCCAGGGTTCAATCCAGGTATTGCACACAACACACACACACACAAAACCAGGAACACACACACACACACAAAACCAGGTGTTGCACACAACACACACACACACACACACACACACACACACACAAAACCAGAAAGGACCAAACTCTATGTTTGTTAAAGTGCATGTTTTTTGTAGATACCAAACTCATGATTCCTCTCTATAATTGTTTTTTAGTGTGTTTTGTGGTATTTTTTATTTTTGTTTTTTGTGCTCCTGGGGATTAAACCCAGGGTCTAGTTGAACATTCTAGGCAAGTACTCTACCATGGAGCTATTATAACCCCAGCCCTTTTTATTTTTGATAGAGGACTCGCTAAGTTATCTAGGCTATCCTTGAACTTAACGATCCCCCTGCCTCAAGCTCCCAAGTACTTTCATTAGTAGTTATTGATCTGTGCATTAAATGGTAGAAATGCAAGTCTTAAAAGTGTTCACTGAGAGAGAGACATCCTGCCAAGGACAGTGCAGTTTTGTCTGGGAGATCTAGAGAGCTCACAATTAGGTCCTGGCATTGGAATGATAGAATTTATCGCGCAGGAGCAAATGCATCCTAGAAGTGCTAAGATTACTCTATTGCTCTCATCCTGTGCTCCTGCAAGAAACGCAAGAGTGCACACCAGAGTTAAATATTCTGTATGGGATTGGAGGAAGGCAGAATGTGGAAGAAATCATAGAGTTGGAGATTCCTTTTGTGCTTTACAAAACTGTGAAGGGTCATGAGCACCTGGAACAGGTCTCCACTCTGTGGCAGCACTGCTGGGTTAGCCTCACCACCCCGTGGATTGCAGAGTCTATAAACATGTGCCTGTAACTGTGTTCCAAAAACAGAACCACACTTATTAGGAGGAAATTCTGATTTCATGGAAAACAAAAAAATAGAGCAAGGCGAATATACCATGTTTGCAAAGTCATGTGTTTCCTTTCTCTCTGAATGAGAGAAAAACAGTTTTATTGCCGGCTTACTGGTCTACCTGGAACTGAAAGGAATACTACTTTCTAACATGGTGTGTCCAGTAAGGGAGAAAGCCACCACAATAAATATATTTGTTAATTTAAAAAAAAAAAAAAAAAGTGTTCACTGAGCCAAGGATATAGCTCAGCAGCACAATGCCTGCCTGGCAAGCACAAGGTCCTGAGTTTGATTTGCAGTACAAAAAAAAAAAACGTTCACTGGAAGCTTTACTAGTATCTAAAACTTCCAGAACTGGTTCTTCATCTTGGACATTCCTTCTTGTTGGTAATGACTTATTAAACTGTAAGTCAGGATCCAGGTATCTGTATCCTAAACTCCCTGAATGGAAATCGTAGACCAAAGAAACCCACATAGTTCCATTATTTCTTAAAGATTCCAAAGCTCAGGCATTTGAAGCAAAGAGAAGGGAAGATGTGTTAGGAGAGGACCTCATTTGTGGGATTTAGGCACTAAACATGGGCATCTGAGAGGAGCACCTTCTCTCTGCCCCAGCCGTGATCAGTGAGAGTATCGCTCCTGGAGGCTGACCTCTCCAAGGACAGGCTCGCTTACACGTCCTGGTGACGTGTCCCGGGCCATGCATAGGATCCACTAATGTTGGGGACTTAAGTTGCATGTTGGAAGACTTTTATGTGGATAAAACCACTTGTTTTGGCAACGGTTTTCGTTCGACTTCATAGATTCATTTTAGTGTGTTCTAATGACTAGAAGTGTATGTTATGAAAATAATTTCTTCTAAAAGTATTAAAATGGGTTTTTTAAGACACTGGTGTCATCTGTGGCATTTTCTCCACTTGATATTTGACAGCCACATCCAGGCCTCGTGGCACATGACTGTAATCCCAGCACTCAGGAAGCTGAGGCAGGAAAATCATCATGAGTTGAAAGCCAGAATGAGCTACAGAGTGTGTTCAAGGCCAGCCTGAATTATAGAGTGAGACCCTATCTCAAAAAAAAAAATTTGACAACTGCATACAGTACACGATTTGCACATGGCCATGTCACTCTCAAGAGTAAACTATCAGGCTGAGTATCAGTGAGCCATAGGAGACAGTCTGTGCTTTAGTAAGTGTGTGGAATAGAGGTAAACTCTGGCCTGCCTGCATGTGTTATGTGTTGTGTAGTAGGTAAATACAGAGGCAGTAAACCCATCTACTCTAAAAACCTCCCTTGTGTGTTGGTCAGATAATTTTGTTTTGCTTAGTTTCTTGATCACTTCTCTAATATGTTTTGGTTTTTTCAGAAACCTAGAGTTTCAGTGATAACAGTCAAGGTGTCCTTTCTTACAGGGGCCAGACGCCTGCTGAGTCAGATTTCCAGGTGCTGGAAATTGCTCGCAAGTTGGAAATGTACGGCATCAGGTTTCACACAGCTTCTGACAGGGAGGGGACCAAGATTAACCTGGCTGTTTCCCACATGGGTGTCCTTGTGTTCCAGGTAGGCAGAGAGGGATGTGGTCGTGGCAGGGTGGTGATGTAGTGCAACTTGGTCAGGTTCCTGCTATGTTTATTGGTAAATTTTTGTTCTAATTAATAAGACAGTAGATTTAGAAGATGAAATTTGCATGTTCCCTGAGCCAGTCTCTTACCCAGTAGAAAAATGGTTTTCTTGTCCTTCTCTTACACAGTGTGATTATTCTTGCTGTCCAGGAGCCTGTGGACCCCAGCTGATCACTGACTCCCCACCAGGGCTGCTCTGGTCCCCAGGATGCCCATCTCTTTTCAGTGTTCATTCTGGTGTTGAGCCAAAGGTCATTCCTGTAGAATCTTAAACTGCAGCTCTGGGGTCTGTCTTCTTTCTAGGGACAAAACTCTGCTGAGCTATGAGAGTTTAGTGACAGGGACTCTGGGTACCTCTAATAGGCAGGAGGGCACTGGAACTAGAAACAGAAAGCCTGGTTTCATCTGTGTGAGCTCAGACAGGAGGTGGAGGAGCTGCTCCCTCTGGTGCAAGAGGCAAGGTCTCCTTTCTGGTGTGGGTCCAGGGGAGGGATGAGGCAGCTCCCTGGAAGTGCAGGCTCAGAAAAGCCTGCAGTCAGAGTGCAGGGCAGGCTCTCCACATCTCGGCTGTTCTGCACAGTCTACCAGCCAGATGGGGACCTCTAGGTGCTGTCACCAGGCCCTGCACATGGGGGCCACTAGCTCAGGAGTACACCCACACACACACACACACCCCATGGTTAAAAGGCCTCATTGCAAATACTCTGAAACCTACAGAAGAGCTAAGAGAATTAAGACAGCAGAGAGAGCCACCCTGTGGCTTGACCCAGACCTGATCCTTATTATCATTTGGTCCATTTGCTTCAGGACCAGTACTTCCTCCTGCCTGCACCCCTACCCTCCTCACACATGGTGCTTTCTCAAGTGCTAGAAAGTGAATGGCGTACGTCTTCACCTGAGTCCCTTCGCCCGTGTGTCCGGAGAATAGGCTGTTCCCTTATACATCCACATCCATCACCACTGAGATGATTGATACAACTCCTTATCTACTGTATTAGTTTCCAGTTTTGTGAGCAGGCCACGTGGTGTTCCTTTATAGCTTTTGCTCCCCAGGGCTGGATCTAGTCTGGGATCCCATGGGGCATGTAGCCCTCATGTCTCTGTTCTCCTCGGTCCTGGGGTGTTTCCACGGCCTCTCCTTTGTCTTCAGTGACACTGATAGTATTGAAGAGCTGCCCTTTTTATTTTTAATAGTGTATGTATCTGTTGTATTGGATGTTTCCTTGTGATTAGATTTGGTGGAATGGTCCAGCTGGACCCCGCCAAAACGTTGTGTCCTTCAGACTGTCTCACCTGGAGGCACCAAGAACCATTTAACTTTTCTTCACTCCCAGCCTGCCCTGAACCACCACTACCCTCCCACAACTTTCCCCTCCAGGGCTGTACTTCTTCAAGCGGGGAACAGTGTTTTTCTTGGTTTTGGTTTGGATTTTTGTTTTTTGTGGTCCTTGTGATTGAACTCAGGGTCTTCACACTGAGCTATATTCCCAGCCCTTTTAAAATTTTTATTTTGAGATAGACTCACTAAATTGTGTAGACTAGGCTCAAATTTGGCAATCCTGCTTCAGCCTCCCAGAGTGGTGGGATTACACATGTGCACTGTCACACCCAGCTCAAAATGTATAATGTTAACACTGATTTTTTTTAAAATGTACTAAAGCCTTATTAAAGAAATTAAGTTATTTTCTACAATAGACAAGTATGTTTGGTGTTGACATTCTAACTGAGAGTCATTCCAAGTAAAATGGTAACATGTCAGGCAGGCTACTGTGCCATCTGTCAAGAATGTAACTTTAGCTGTCTCCAGTCCATGAGAATGGAGTGAGCCTTCAAATTAGGAATGTGCCACCACATTTGTTTCTTGTATTTCAGGGTACCACCAAAATCAACACCTTCAACTGGTCCAAGGTCCGTAAACTAAGCTTCAAGAGGAAAAGATTTCTTATCAAACTCCACCCTGAGGTCCATGTGAGTATTTAAGAGAAATTGTTGGCTAGAATGTCCATATTGAGAGCTTTTTGGTTTTGTTCTGTTTTTTTGGGGTTTTTTTGTTTGTTGTTGTTGTTGTTGTTGTTTGTCTTTTGGAGAGAGGGTCTCACTATGCAGTTCAGACTGGCCTTGAGCTCACCTTGTAGCCCAGGCTGGTCTCGACCTCACAACGATCCTCCTGCCTCAGCCTCCTGAGTGCTGGGATTACAGGTGTACGCCACCATGCCCGGTTCTTGTTATTTTCTTTTTTGAGAGGTTTTTACACTTGATCTTAGCCAAAAGGCTGAGAAGTGATTTTTAAAAACTACTTTGTAAGTCATTTCAGTACCAGGCACACAAGAGTTTAAGGACAAGAGTTGGGCTTGGCATCTGGAAGGGCCTGAGGGCAGTCTGCCCAGCGGGTCTCACCCTGACCCCTCAGAAGTTTGTTATCCACACCCCCAGTGACAGCATCCCCAGAGGAAGCGCATGTCTGGCAGGCTTCCGGGGCTTCTGAGAACCTTTGGTCATCATAACCACGTTGCTGTCTAGGTGATCAAGGTGACAAATGAAGGTCAAGGGGTACTGAGTCCTGCCTAGAGGACAGTGAGAACTTCTGTCCAGCAGTGAGGCCACCCAAGTCTCATGTTTCCATGGTTCAGAAATTGTCCTCAGGCTAGCTTTGAGAAGTCTTGATGATCAAGACGTAAATATTCCTATTAGAGATTGTCAGCAAAGTTATAATCACGTATGAATTACTGAAATGATTAAAAGTGGAAAAAGTAAATGTCTTCTAGTTGGGAAACCTCAATATTTAAAACTGTTTAAAGATATTTAAATTGTTCCGTTTCTTTCATACAAAGCAAGTTAGAAAATAAAAGGATTAGCTGAGCCATGGTGGAATTAAAGCTTGAGATGCTGTGGTGGCTGTAGCCGCTTAGACATATTCTGGGTCGCAGATTCAGAGCTATTGGACCAATCAGAAGAAAGGCTCTACTCAAACCTCAAGAGGCCTGTGGCTAGCAGGGCATTTGTCAGATTCCAGCTCCATGTGTCTTGTGTGGATGTGTATGCTTTGGGTAGAGGCTTGATGGGATGGCTCATTATTATTCTACATCTGTAGATGAAAGTAGGAATACCAAACACACATACAAAATGCAAATAAAAGGCTTTTCTTTCCTGTCATTACAAAAGTGGTATCCATGAAATTCTGAGAAAGGAGAGAATTACTACTCAATTTACAAAAACAACTGTTAACTGGAATTACATATTTCAAAGTCCAGGGCCATTTTTTTTTTTTTTTGGTTTTGGTTTTTCTCCGGTACCGGGAACCGAACTCACGACCTTGCGCTTGCCAGGCAGGCGCTTTTTGCCGCTGAGCTAAATCCCCAGCCCCCAGGGCCATATTTGTATTGTCAAAGTTCAGGGCCAAAGTTCGGGAAAGAGTTATATTTTACATCTCTAAGTACATAGATTTTTTTTTTAATTTTAAAGAGAAAAGAACAAAAACAAAGATATAAACAAAACAACATAAAACAGTAAAAAGATACAGAATTTCAAAACAAGGTGATAGGAAATTAACAATAGTTGTTGTATTGCTATTATTATCTTCAAAGTGATACTCAGATAACCAGATCTAGGCATGTAAGATTGATCAAAGAATTAAATATTAACTGTTCCTTTCAATAAACCAATAGAACTTAGTAGTATAATTACCTTAGCTATCTTATGTATATATACATATATATATTTTTTTTTTCCCTTCCTTCTTATCTGTTTTCCCTCATCCCAGTTGTTCTTTCCTTTTGAGCAGTTTCTTTTCCTTTCACAATATGTATTGTACCTTTCAGATTTTATTTACTCTTTCAGGTTCTTACACTAGGGAGGCAATACGATGTCTACACATGTGAATCTGATTTATTTCACTTACAAATATGGTCTCTGGTTGCATCCATTTACCTATAAAAGCCTCTAGTTTATCTTTCTTCATAGCTCACTAATACTGCACTGTATAAAAATACATCGTTTTTTTACCCATTCCTCAGCTAATGGGCATTTGGGTTGTTTCCAAGATTTAGCTATTACAGATTGTGCTGCTATAAACATGGGAGCACATATATCATTGTGGTATGATGTTTTTAGTTTTTCTGGGAAAATTCCCAGAAG